ATTAGCAAATCTACCACTCAAATATTTATCACTTCTTTGGGGGTGAGAATATTCAAACTCCTTTATTCTAGCTATTTTGAAATATACAATACAGTATTATTAACAATAGTTGCTCTACTGTGAAATACAACATTAGAACTACATGGTCTTTTAATCTCTACATTATTTTAAGAGTTGGCACAGCATCTGAATACTCAACAGATATTTGTTGAATTAATAAATGTGTGCAGGAATGAATGAATGAACGAGCCCTCTACAAGTCTCCTGGGTTCACAAGTATATAAATCCTGAGAACAACTTAGGGTCTGGTCATGTGCACTTCTCTGACACATGAACCATGTGATTTTTGCAGCACGTTCTCACTCTATGGTCTTTTGTTCAACAGGACCTGCCCTCAGTGTTCTTCACTCCACACAACACAGCTGACCCAGACATCATGTACAGGAGGTACTGGCCAGCAGCCAGGAGTCCTTTGGTCCCTATGAGGAACCACCAAGGTTCCTGGCCTCGGTGCCACCAAGGCATATGCACCACTGACTACTTTTCTAGTTTCTGTAATACGTAGTGATGTAGGGCCATCAAAGTGGACCTTTTCTTGGGCTGTTGTTAACGTCAAATTTAATTTGGCTAAGAGGTCTCACTGAGGGCTTCTCTGTCATCTCATACTCAAGAGAGTTCCATGACATGCACCTCTGGAAAGTCTGGTGCCTAGATGGCAGGGTCCTTCATGGGGATCTATGAATTCAGAGGAAGTGATAAGCAGTTGGCCCCACTTCTCTAAGAAGCCTGGCTTCAGGTAGAGCAAAGGAAGGTGGGGGCCACTTGAGATACATCTGACCCCACAAGCTAAAGGGGACACAGAGGTTCAGGGGACCTCCATTTTTTTTGTCCAAAGCAGAACGGCAATGTCTCCATGCATAAATCCATGAAGCAATATGCCTGACATCCAATGCTTCCCTAGGCCCAAAGAGGCATTTCAAGTGTTTCTGCATCTACTCAGGTACCTCCTGACAGCAGGCTTGACACCAGCTATTGTCCAACTCCCACTTAAACCAGATTCCCTCGCTGCTCCTGATGGGGCCTACATTGCAGGAGGAGGAAGCAGGTGGGCAATGTCCAGATTTCCATGATGACCCTCTGAGGAGATATCCATGGCTAGGTTACTGCATGACTACAGCTTCACAGAGGAGACTCCAGAACTCAAACTACCAAGGTAGCTCCATAGACTGACTCCTGGTGTGCACAGAGGGCAGGCAAGTGCTGACTGGAGGGAAGGGTTTGGAGAGGTGAAGGGGAGAGAGACCATCCTAGGGGGAGGAGAAAGTGAGTGAAGGCTTACGAATGAGAAGGAACCAGGCAGAGGGACCAAAATAGGTGCCCTGACCAAGCAGAGGCAGAACATCAGGGCAAAATGTGCTGCAGTAATGGATCAGCAGGTGGAGGCTGATCTTTGGGAGGGTCAAGAATCAGGCTAGAATGTGGTGCCCACACCTGGGTATACCACAGGCAACTGCCACCGTTGTCCCTTAGATCTGCCCTTGATCCTGGATACCTAGCTCTGGTTGGCAGCACCCTCATTCAGTTAGACACTCACACAAGAACCTTTTTAGACTCCTCTCTTACTCCTGACAGCTAATCAATCATTGAATCTTGCTGATTTTGTCTCCAAAGTCTGTCTTAAATTCCTCCTTCCTGCCACTCCCCTGGTTCAGAACTCATTATCTCTTGCTTAGACCATGGCTCCAATACCCTAATTGGTCTCCCTGTTTCCATCCAAAGTCAATAAAGATTTGTAGGATGAAAAATGCATGAATACTGAGGCTTAAATGGTCATGGCAGCTCCCCAGTTGGGAATCCCAGCAAGAAGCTTGTCTACCATCCACTGAAGACACACAGAAACTTGTCTCTGGAACCGAAAGTACCCTACAGGAGTCAGGCATTACAACCCAGTTTCCATTGTAGAAGTGATCCAGCCTACATTTCCCTTATGGGTGGAGAGAACATGAGTCCCTACACGGAAGCTGACCCCAGGATAAGATTTGCATCTGGGCCTCACTCATTTGCTTTTACCCTTTTTATCTGAGCTCTCCTCCAGTGCAGTTCAAAAGCCAGGCTTCTAATGTAGAGGCAGGACTGAGCCTGCTTAGCAGGGTTATTGGGACAGGATTCTCATAGGTGTGGGGGGCAGTGCTATGGAGAGAAGCACAGACTTCCGTCCTTCAAAGGGCAGCTCCCAGCACCAAATAAGGCCGCATCTTGGGGGAAACTGCCTTGCTGGATGAATTAACCTGTCCTGCCAGGCGATGTTGGCAGCACAGATAGAATGAACTGTGTTAACATATGAGATGCAATTTTGTTCGAAAATTTGTTCCTTCAGGAAATCCTTATCACACTCCCTATCTCCCCATCTCTCCCCAGCAACATTCAAAATCAAATCACAAGTGCATGCCCTTGGGCTCATCTGATCTTTAACAAGCTGATCCCATCATCTCTTCTAACCTGGAGGAGTTTAGGAAATGATGCTAACCCACAGTGGCCTGGGGTTGAGTTGACTTGTAATTCAGGTGCATGGGGAGGAAAATGGGGTATTCCTTCAAACTCAGATGTCATCTTAGATGGCTTCTCTGCCACAGAATGGAGGAGAGGACTGGAGGCAGTTTTCTGCCTTACAACCATTTTTGCAAGAGCTGTATGGAATATTGAAGTTGTGGTGATTTTTCCGATCTACTGCATCATTCTGGAGAGGTGTGCAGTCCCATAGGCCTTCCCTGCCAGCCAGGTGACATGAAAAATGGAACATGACAATATCAACCTGGGTTTATTTCACATTCAGTTCTAAATATTTTTACTTGGTTCCTTGGGTTAGAACAGTGTGGGTGAAGGGGTGTGTGTGCTTGTGTGTATGTGTGTATATGTGCGTGTGTGTGTGTGTGTGTGAAAGTTGAGGGAGAAAAACTGCCCCAAAGGTAGTAGTGGAGAGGCCCACCTTGGGGGAAGGCAGGCTAGACTGTGCATTCGCAGCCTCCCTTTCTTTTGGAGGAGATGCAGTTACCTCCAAATACAAGCCCAGCGTAAGAGTAAGCCCTTTCCTAAGCTCCCAAACATGGCTGGAGAGTCCAGTGTGAGTTCCTGAGTATTTTGGGAGAGAACAAGGAAGAAATGAACTACGTGCAGGAGTAGGAGCGAAGGAGGCCCATCAACACGTCAACAGTCTGAGTTACAAAGCACATGAGGTGCTTCTTGCCTTATGAGATGCTCATTTTCTCATTCCACAGACTCACTTGAGAGATTGACATTCTAGCTCCAGAGGCCTGGATGGCTAGCCTTAGTGGAAACTGAGCTAAAACACCCATCATTCAGACAGACTTACTTTCAATTCCTGGCTCTGTTGCTTTCTATCTGTGTGACCTTAGACAGGTCATTTTCACTCTCTGGGCCTCAAATTTTTCATCTCTAAAATGGGATGGGTGACCTCCTCATGGTGAAGACAGGAGAACTAAATAAAGTAATGCATGTGAAGAGGCTGGCAGGGCACGCACAGTAGGTGCCCAGTGAAGCTGGCTTTCCTCCATATCCACCTTTCAGAGCACCCCTCCATCAGTTTTGCTTCCTAACTCCTGGCCTGCCTCCTTTCTTGGGGTGCCATCTCACAGCCAAATGACAACAAGTCCTCTCTGTCCCTCACAAGTGAGTATCTTTGTCCACCTTCACCCTCACCCCAAGCTCTTCTCTGCTGTGGGCAGCCAGACTCAGCTTCGTGGGCGTGTGATCTTGTTACCCAGGGCAATGACTACGTGACAGAGCTGAATTTCTACCCTGTCCTAACTTTGCTTATCTTTAACACACAGAATGCCTGTGATAAAAAGTTCCCTTTGCAACCAGAACAGCTGAGACTGGTACATAGAACCAAGATAGTTGACCAAAGGACTTCAGAAAGACCTCAGGCTTCATGATAATCTTATTTCCATGCTAAATGATACTCCCTCCAGCACCATGACAGATGACAATTGCCACGACAATGACTGGAAGAAGCCTTAAAAAGACTGAGATCCGGCCACTGCACTCCAGCCTGGGCGACAGAGCGAAACTCCGGCTCAAAAAAAAAAAAAAAAAAAAAGACTAAAAGGGAGGCAGTACTACTGGTTCCAGGAGGTTCACCACCCATTTCTGGAAAAGACATGAATATTCTTTCCTTTGCTTTTCATGTCAAGTCCTTCATTAGAGAAATCCTGTCTCTTAAGCCCCTCACCTTCACTTGTTGAGAAGTTGATGGTGAGCCATGCTCCTGCTTCTCAATTCCACGGCCACTGAATAAAGCCTGCACTGCTTGACACTCACTTTTGGTTTTGTGTATTGGTTTTGTGATACTGAGTAGGGAAAGACTCCGTCCTTGGCAAGACCAGCTTTGTCAATAACAACCTGAGTAGTCACATACGGTCCAATGCTTAGTTGTGTATCCTTGGTTTAATGCGTTGCTGTGTCTGTTTTAAAACTCTTGTTAATTTTTGAAAAAGAGCCCCAAATTTTCATTTGCATTGGGCCCCACAAATTATATAGCTGGTGCTTTGGGGAGGAGACCAATCTCTTTCCAGGTGACTGACACTACTAACTCTTCGTACTGGGTCTGGTCTGGTAGCTTCTTCTAAACCAGTGGGGGAGAAAGGAACTCGTGTTTCTTTGGGCCCTGCCCTAGGTACTCTTGAAAGTATTGTGCCATTTAATCCCTGTTTTACCAAAGAAGAGCAAAGGCTTTGCCTTTCCATGTCACTTGCCCAAAGTCACATAACTAATAAACGGAGTCTGAGTCAGGAGTCTAGTGCCAAAAGCTGGGCCTTCCAACCCGTCTGCCATAAGTAAACTTAAAATCCATCCAGGAGTTACACATATCGGTGCAGGAAGGGATGGCTGATTCTTCCCTGAGATAATAAGATATGCTTTTTTTTGGTATACATCATTTAAAAGCAATTAATTTAAAAAAATCCCCAAAGGGAAAAACCTACCACATAACTTCTGAAGGGATTTCTCAGAGTAGGTCTCCCGGTCACAACCCTTCCCAATGTAATTAGTCTGCAGCTCTGCGACGATCTGGAGGGAAGACACGGCTCCATCGCACATCTCCAGGTGGATGCTGGGGAACAGGGCCATGCTCCCGGAGCCAGGCTGGTACTCAATCCTTTTGGTCCAGTCTAAACAAACAAGGAAAGGATGAAAAGTGAATCAGGTGCAGTCAGTTCTGCTGGAACATTTCTTTTAGAAGTGTGAATTTGTTCCAATGAATTATTTGCCCCAACACATATATTAGATATTAGGGAACAGTCTGAGAATAATGGCAGTTTTACATTTGCTTATACAAGGTTTCTTCCCTGAGAAATACTAGGCAAATGCGGAAAACTGCACCCAGCTGCACTGAGCCACGTAGGAACACACAAAACATGCGCAGGCACACGCACACTCACATGAGCACACACACACACAGTCACACCTTCAAACATATACCAGCTCCTCAGTTCACCAGTGTTGTGAGCCACACCTGTCCATGGCTGCAGTCACAACTTTTCATTCATTTCCCAGATACTCCTTCAAGGACTTCACAACAACACACCAGAGGCAACCCCCACTATCCCCAACCTTTGCTTTAGTATCTCAAAGTGTATTTTTGAACTTTTATTTTAGGTTTAGGTGTATAAGTGCGGGTTTGTTATATGTAAATTTGTGTCACGGGGGCTTGTGGTACAGATTATTTCAGTACCTGGGGGAGGCAACCCTTCTTACATTCATTTCACAGGCAAACGTCAGATCTCCTCGAGGTAAGGTGCCATCATTATTGTAGTATTTGTGTAATATTGTGCTAATGTTTTCTCTTTCTCCTTTTTTTTAATGTGCCACTGATGATATTTTTGAGTGTTGTGCCTCTCGCCCCATTTTTCAACTTTGCCTCACGTGCCTTGTCATAAAACAAAAGAAAGCATGGTTGTTCAGGCATCTCAAGAGGTCACAAGGTACGTTGAAAGGATTCTCAGACACTCAGAACTGTGAGTCATTGAAGTAGGTCTCATGGTCTTGTCACTGCTTTTTAGTGAAAAAATAATGTGGAGATGATAAAGCATTAGAGAGGAACAAAATCACAATTAAAATGACACCATGCAAGAACAGAGCAATACAAACACATACAAACTCTACAATTGAGTGTACACAGGAATTGACTGATATAATAACAGTAGCACCTGAAAGTCAGAGTGGACTCAAGGCAGGCTCCCAGTGACTGATGACGTGTGTTTGCCTGCCACAGCGGGCATCCCATGCTCTGCGAGGACACATGTCTGAGATGGCTGTGCAGCCATCCTCAGCCAGATTTATGTGCAGAAGAGTGATTCTGAGTCATCAAGCAATGTGAGTTATGGGTGCTATTAATTTACTAATCCCAAATGTTTGTCACATACAACATTGCTAGATGATATCCCTTTGCTGAAATAGAAATAAAAATCTATAAAGTTGCCTGACCTCACCCATGAGAAACTCAGAAAGTCCTTCATTGTGGGACTGGGTATCAGGCTGCAGTTACCAGAAGACTCCTCAGTTCCCAGTGGGCCACTGGCACCACCATGTGATACCAGTATCTTGGAAGAGGCTGGGCTTTGGGGCTAGCCAGATGGCTTTGTTCACTGAGCAACCATTTGTTCAGGGTTTGTTTCTATGTGCCAGGCTCTGCTTGGAGTACAAAGGATATAGCAGTGAACAAGTCAGGAGCCTAGGGAGAGAGGCAGGTGATGAATAAGCCTGTGCTGCTCTAACAGAGAGGAGTAAGTGCTATGAAAGGAAAAGCCAGTGATAGTGAGGGGCTCCTTTAGCTTGAGAGTTAACCTCTGAGCTGAGGCCTGAATATCAAGGACAAATGCATTGGGGGAAGCCTCAGAGAAGCACGTGTGAAGCAGATGCAGCAACAATCTTGGCTTGTCTTTGTAAGGTCAGGAAGTTCTCGCGCAGGTTACTGAAGGTCTCCAAGCCTCAGGGATCTCATCAAGAAAATGGGAACCATAGCACTGAGCTTACAGTATTGAGGTAGGGACTGAGTGTGAAAATGTGTGCATTGCGGGCAGTAGAGACTGATCAATGTTGTTCCCTGGCAAGGAAGAAGACAATCTGCCCCCGTGCATCACAACTTTGACAAATTTCAGGTACCTTTGCAATCTGACTTTAGCTCTGAGCCCCCACGGTCACCAGCTGCCCTTTACGGGGTTTTCTCAGAGTGTCTCACAAGAAGAGAGTGCACATTACGGTTGTGAGATTCATCCCTAGGGTACTTACAATAAGAGGATGTTTGGATGAGAGTGACTAATTGTAAAGGAGAATATCCCCAATTCTATGTTATTTTCCTCATAGTCTTTAGGAACTGTATCTGGATTAGTCCATCCCCTCCCAGAGGATGAGATCATGAAGTTGCTGCAGCCCATGCTCCAAAAGCCTCAAGTGCAATCTTAAGGACAAACCACTGGAGCAAAAGGTGGCTTTTTGTCTGGTGGATCGAAAGTCATGTCATAGTGCTATAGGAAGCCCTCCACACACATGGCCAACCGTGTAGTGTCCTAGGTACAAAATGTTTCGTGCCACTGTGTATTTGATTGTGCTGTTTCTTCTACTTGAGGTTCCCTTTCTATCACCATCCCTCTTGCCACCTCCTCCATGTGGCCTTCTGGGATTTCTCCAGTCTAGGTCGATGCCCTCTCTCCTCCATGCTTCTGCAGTACTTTCAACATTAGACTGTAGCATTAGACTCCAAGCTTCATGGTGCCTCTGAGGCCCCATCGTGCTAGTCAGTGCCTGGCACAGAGTAGATGCTCACTAGTGGTAGAAATTGTGACAGAATCCTAAAGGCTATCTTTTGATAGGAAATATTTGCTGGGCGGATCTGGGTAGCCCCAGACATCTAACCTTGATTGCTGCCTTGGTAGCACTTCTTGAGCTGCAGACAGAATCCATGGCTTGTTTGCAGCTTCTCTGGTACTGACCCCACCTGCCTGTATCTCCACTCCTGCTGAACCATCTATCCCTTCTCTGTATAGAACCATCTCTCTCTCCTCTCCCCCCAAACCCTCCATAAACTCCCTTTCTGTAAATTGAAAACGGAGAAAGCAGTTTTGTGCTGGAAGCAGGAGCTTGCTGTGCACCCTGCAGCACCAGTCTTGAGGTTCTCCTGTTTCTGCTAGTTCAGGAGAGCCCTCTCACAATACCTCCCCTCTGGTCATGGTCTCTGGAAGCCTCTTCTCTGGAGAAACCCAAGACACCCAACTCATTGATTTCCATTATTCGGCAGAGGCTGCAGGCATCTCTTTCTCATCTAGATATTTTGGTGGTTATCTATGATGAGAAATTCCACCTCAAATCTTTTGAAAAGGAGTTCAAATAAACAAGCAAGTAAATCGTGAAGGGAAAAGCCAGGAAGCACAATCCTGTAGGGTCTTCATCCTCTCGCTCACCCCCTAGCTGGGAGGGCAGGGCCCTCTCTGACCACCAGGGAGAAATCAGGTATAAAAGAGTTTTAGGAACATCACAATTGCCAGTTGCTTTGGTGGCCTCAAGAGGCTTGTTTTTGAGGGTTTATGAGGAGCAGGCAAAATTGCAACCACATAGTAAAAGAAATCAGTGGAGCTTTCTGAGCACAGTGTCCTTGAGAGAGTGAGATGCTCATACAAACATCTTCCATTTTCCAAGGAGGAGTTGGGGTGGGGTTAAGAAAGCAAAAGGCAAGTCATCAAGTTCAGCCTTTACCGCTTGATGTGTCTGTCCCTCCTCATCTCCTGGAGGGTAGGATAGCATGGTTCTTAAAAGTGTGAATGTTTAATTCCGCACACCTGAGTTTAAATCCCACGCTTACCACTTACTGTGTAACTTTGGGCAAATCACTTATGCTCTGTGAGCCTCAGTTTCATCTTCTATAAAGTTTGTATCTACCACCTCGGATTTTGGGGGGATTACATGCAGAGTCATTTCAGCACCAAACATAAGGACTATGTCCAATAGATATATTATTGGTAAATTATCGTTTATTCAGTAACACTTATTGCAAGAAATAAGAGGAAATCAATGACTAAGCATCGACAAGGTGCCAAGCACTTTTACATCTATCCTTTCACTTAATCCTTTCAGGGACCCAGTGGGGGAGTGTTACCTTAATTGCATAAACCATAAAACCGTGGCTAAGAGTTGGTGTGACTTACCCAAGGCCACATAGCTTTTTTTTTTTTTTGAGATGGAATTTTGCTCTTGTCACCCAGGCTGGAGTGCAATGGTGCTATCTCAGCCCACTGCAACCTCCGCCTCCTGGGTTCCAGCAATTCTGCCTCAGCCTCCCTAGTACCTGGGATTACAGGCACCCGCCACCACACCCAGCCAATTTTTGTATTTTTAGGAGAGACGGAATTTCACCATGTTGGCTAGGCTGGTCTCGAACTTCTGACCTTAGGTGATCCACCCACATCGGCCTTCCAGAGTGCTGGGATTACAGGCCACATGGCTGTTTTTACAAAAGCTCCTCCATTATTCTGAGGCCAGAACTGAGACAACTATCATTTTTACAGATTCATGTTTGACATTCAATTTATGCTGATATTTAAAAATAAAATAGTGATAATCCCAATGTTGGCAAAAGATCAAGAAGTATTGTCAGTTTTATCAGTGTCTGACCTTGAGGGCAGCTTATGGGGCTGGAGGTTTGCTTTGACACTGAAGGCTGCAGAAATCCAGGCTTGAATCTCAGCTCTGCCAAATGCGAGTCATGTGAATCTAACAAAGCTGCCGTCATCTTATAGCCTCCGTTGATTCATCTGCAGATTGGGGAAAATTATATTCCCTCCTGGGCTTATGGTAGCACGAGATATGCCAGGCTAAGGGCCTAACACAGAGACCTTCCCACGAAGGCTCGGTATGGAAATATCCCACCCATTGGTTCATGAGTGTCTCAAACTTCTCTGAACTGTCCTGCTTGGACACAAAATCTTTTTAGTTTATAAAGGGCCTCGAGACTACTTTATGAATTGTGGTTCAATTTTTTTCTTAAGAGAAAGGGAGCAGCCTGCCCACTGTTTTAATAATTGGGCCTAAATTACCCTGTAAGTATTCCTGAAAAAGCTATTGGGATTTAAACTCCTTCTTTGTGGATTAAGAATTTAGAAAGATGATGATTTTATTA